CCCCCCTTTCCCCTTGTTTTCTCAACAGGACAAAGAGGGGAAAGAAAATAAGACAGACCGACCCTTGTGGGTAAAACAAAAGCAGTTTTAATATAAACAAAGTGAAGCAAAGGTCTGCGTGTGGAAGCAAAAAAAAGAAAACAGATTCATTCTCTACTCCCATGAAGAGGCGATGTGGGGCCTTCTCAGGAGCAGGGCTCCAATACATGGAGTGGTTGCCGCGGAGGACCAAGGGGAACCCTACCCCTTTCATCCTTTCTCCCAGCTTTATACTGAGCAGACATCATATGGTATGGAATATCCCTTCGGTCAGTTGGGGTCAGCTGTCCTGGCTGTGTCCCCTGCCAAGATTTTTCTCACCCCATACCACTGGGGGTGAAAATGTTGGAAAGAGCCTTGGTGCTGTGTAAGCACTGCTCAGCAGTAGCCACAACACCAGGGTGCTATCAACACCCTGCCAGCTCCCAACATAAAACACAGCACTGTGAGGGCTGCTGTAGGGGAAAACCAATTCCAGCTCAGCCAGACCCAGTACACCTAGTCACATTAGATTGCATTTGATCCCGTTTTACTACGTTTGAATTAAACTCTGTTGTAGATTAATTACATTCTGCTCCTTACTTTTAGTATTTTCTGTCCTGTTGGGGATATAATTAAAATATAACTAATTCCTCTGAACACTTTTCTTTCTGTCTGATTTTATTTAAACTTTGTGCTAAGAGCTGCGTTTGAAGTGGGGAGCGTGGTGGGTTCCCGGTGCTAGACCAGCAGCGGTGCAGTGTCAATCCACGTGCCATCCTGTACCCACACCAGTGGGGTTGTGCTCTGTGTTCCCTTTTCTTAGTTGATGATAGACCTGACGGATGGAGGGGGAATTTTCTCCATGAAAGCCAGGCCCACCACACACTGCATCTACTGAGCTGCAGGCGCGGAGGTGGACGGTCCTGGAGAAGGTAAATTCAATCACCATCAAGTGTGGTCAATCACACAGGGAAGATGTGTGCTCTGCTCTTGGCTTGGCCAAGCAGCAGCCAGATGTTAGACACAGTTTCTTTTCTGGGGCTCTCTGTAACCCTAGTTTTTCATGTGGATGCTTTGTAGGGTTTCCTCCTAGCAAGTTGTAGGAAGTTTTTCTGTTCTTCTGAACATGGTGGGTTGAGTTGTGGGGGACTATCACCCCATCAGTGGACCATCTGAGGTCTTTGCTGCATGTGGGAAGTTACCAGCCTGAATGGAGGCAGCCCTTCAGCCCACAGCCAGCCAACAGAAGCCAAAACCACCCTTCAACTCAGCTTTATGTATAGCAGGAGCTGGCTGGGTGCTGTTTGAGTGGGAGCTGGGTGTTACCCTGAGGTTAAGACAGCAGTGATATGCATGGTGGTATCAGGGTCTGGAACCATCAGTGGGAGAACCTTTGCTTACAGACAGATGGGTTTCAACCTCATTCCTCTCCTGCTGCATGGAAACATTTCCTCTGTATGGCTGTATCACTTGTCTCTGATTTCCATTGCTGTGCAGAGAGGAAGCCTCACACCACTTCCCTGGTCCTGCATCACGGGGAATTAGCAGAGTTTGATGTGCTTTTCAAACCCACTCTGGCCCAACATGTGGAAGGGAGGATCCACCTGTCGGTGGTGGACAACCCCTATGAAGAAACCAACATTCAGCTGGGGGGTGAAGGCTATGAGGATGACTTCATGCTAGATAACATCCATGGACTAATGGCAAACAGCAAGGAGAACCCTGAGGGCAATCTGGAGGAAGACCTAACTGAGGGTAAGAGAGGAGAGGTTGCCAAGATGGAGCGAGGAAGAGGAAAATCCGCATTTCTGCTCAGCTTGTGCCAGTGTAGGTGTGGTCCAGCCTTAGCATACAGATCTTGTTGCATTTTGTAGCCTGGAGAGCAGCCACACTTGAGGACACAAGGGAAGATCCTCTGTCAAGGGAGAAGCTTGCAAGCTAGCAGGGAAGGGTCAGAGATACCAGTGTCCAGCTGAGTATCTCTGAAAGGAGGTCTGCTTGCTTGTGAGACACTGTGGAGGTGAAGGCCACATACAATAATTTGTGCGCTCTATATAAGCAGGCCTGTGGTGTCACCCAGCGGAGCTGGCGGTCTGTGAGCGCTCCAGCCATGTGCACAGGGGCAGTGCAGGCTGTACTGCATGTCTCTGCACAGCCGCAGCCACGCATTTAGGGACATGTCAGGGTGTTTCCCTGAAAGTGGTAGGATGGGGAGCAGCTGCATCTCCCAGGGGCAGGAAGGCTTGGAGCAAGGAAGCGTTGGACATAGACATGTCTGTGCATGAGGAGGGCAGCTGGACCTCACCACACACTGAGATCCCTTGCTCTCATTCCTAACAGCTGCCAGAGTGGATCCCATCCAGTTCAGGGACTGTCATGTCAGGACACCCTACTCCATGAGCTTCAGGATCATCAGCCGCAGCAGGGCCGAGGTGATGTGGTTTGAGTGGCTGGCAGGTGCCCCGTTTCACTTCTTCCCCGAGGTGAGCTGGGACAGCTCTGCCTTTACCTGCTGCTTGAGTACTGCCCGGCAGGTTGCCGGGAGCTCGTGGGGAGTCCCCAGAACCATGCAGGAGCTGCAATCCCTGGCTTTTCTTGGGCAGGGCTGTCAGCCCCGCAGAAAAAGCTCCATGTTATGGGAGGCGGCATCTTTTGTTTGCACTTTATCAAACCTCAGATAAATACACAGTAACACACAGGTTCCTGGCACAGCTGCTCAGCACATCAAGCCCTTTGCTGACAGCTCTGCCTTTGCCAGGGATTCCAGTTTGGTCTTGGCTCTCTGGTTCTGCCTAGGTGGGACACCTCCATGCTGGCTGTGCTATGAACATCACAGTGACCTTGAGATTGGATGTCACGGTCACCTTTGAAAAGCACCTTGTGACATGTAAAGTGGTTCAGGCCACTTTGCAGCTGCAGCAGGAGCAGGTTCCCAGCTGGGACGACCGCCTGTGCGCCGTCAAGTGGGTGGGTGCAGTGAGGGGCCCAGCAGCCACATGGCCTGTCAAGAAGAAGGTAAGAAGCACAACAGCAAAATCTAACCGAGCGTCCACAAGAAGAACAGCTGACAGCAGCAGGCCGCCATCTCTGCTGGCTAAGCAGCTCCTGCCACCTCCTGACATTTAATCCACCCGTGTGGTTAACCAGCAGTGCGTTTCAGGGGAGAGGTGGATGCACAGTGACCTGATACACTCACACAAGATGAGGAAGTCTTTTCGATAGGAAACGTTTCGCCACATGCAAACTATCGGTCTCTGCTAAAAGCGGAAGGAAGTGTTGCAGCCTGTGCTGAACAGGAGGTCACATTTGGTGATAATTTATGCTGTTAAAATCTCTTCATCTGATTCAGTGCCTTTTCACCAACAAGGGGATAAATCCACTGTGCTTTGTCTCTTGTTTTGAAGTGGGGAGCAACGCTAGTGCTGTTCTGTGTGTGCTGGCTAGCCCACCAGCACGCTGTGGGTGAGCTCTGAGCTCTGTCTATGTGATACGAGAGATTCTGCTCGTGGTCTCTATGTCACATGGGATGTCTCTCTCCTTATGGAGCAGCCCAGGTACTGTATGGCGGTCATGCAGGAATCTGGAGAAGTATTATCTCCAGAAATTCTTGCTTTTACTATAATTGTTGCCAGACACACCTATCTTGCATGATGGTTCTTCCCTAGTTTCTGAACCATTGTCAGACCTGTAAACCAAACTTTTTCCCCATCAGAGCATCAGTAGTCAGAGACTTTCTTAGCGAGTTCACTCCCATCCCAAAATGCCCATCCCCAGCTGCCACCAGTGTGGCTGTTGCCCGACACATGGCATCTGGAAAGTGCTTTCTCCTAAGACAAGAAGAAAAAGCTGCTTTCTAGGGGTGTTCTGTCTTGGGGTTCTCCATCCACAGAGCTCCAGCAGGGGAACTTAACCCTAATTTGGAAGCCTGTTGGCTTTATAGGGGGCCAGGAAAAGGATCAGGCACTCTACAGGGTTGAAACACAGGGACTGATACACAGTCATAGTCCCCATGGGTGTATTCAGTCGAGGTGGTGATTGCTGTGATCAGTAGGTAGAAGCAAACACTATAGCGGAAGGATCAAATTTTGTCATCTTGACAGGGAAATAAATGGGAATGGTCCTTTCTAGCCCCTATATGTGGCTGATTTTAGAGGCCAAAGGACTCCCTGCTCAGCCTGGCTTTCTGGGCTCTAGTCAGTGACTCTTCCCTCTCCTGTTTGGAGGTGATTGAGATCAACCCAGAACCAGCTCACAAGGTCCTGGAGAAGAGCATCCATGGCATGATTGAGTTCAAGGAGACCTTGCTCTTCCAGACAAGGACATTCACATGAGTGCTGAAGGCCAGGCAGGAACCCACGAGTGGGGGCTGCCTTTGCCCAGGGCTGCCCCATATCTGCATCCCCAGAGCTGTGCTGTGCTCTCCGGTGGCCACTGCTTCTCCTTCTACCCATGGTCCTGTGCCAGCTAAGGTTACACTAAAATGTTCATGTCTCAGCCACTTAATAAACCTCTTTTAATTTCTAACAGGCTGATCAGCGTTGGAAGGGGGTGCTCCTGCTTGCTGAGTCTGAGGTTTCAGCTTCCACACATAATCTGGCACATCCCAGGGCCTGGAGATCTCCCACAAGTGACCCTGAGTCCCTTCTAGGGCTTTACATTGAGTCTCACCTGCTGTTCATCTGTTTAAACAAACCATTTGTTGTTTCATAATTTCCAAGTCCTGGCTGGGTGCTGGGGCCCATATATCTGCACACAAACCAGGCAGGAGATGGTGGCTGTCATCCCACCAAGACATGCCAGGAGAGGTTCAATTCTGCTGTGCCTTTCTGCTGAGAACAGCCATGGTTTTGCTTTCATTGCATGTTGCCTGTCCTTATCTGCTCAAGGATGGGTTTGCAGTCAAAATAATGTAAAACAGAGACAGAATCAGAGCAGAATAAGCCGTTTGGACTAAGTCTCCTTGGCACCATGTCTGCCCTTTCCTCCGTAACTTCTGAACTTGGAAATACTTTCTCTTGGGGCAGCCCAGGGCAGCAATCTAGATGTGGCAGAGTTGTCTGGGAAAGAAGACGCTACTCAGCATAAAGAAAGGGATGTCAGGAGCCCACCACACAGTGTTACTTCTCTACTCACTTTGTATTTATTGGGCTTTTTTTTTTTTTACTTTCACGTCCTTCTTGCTTTTCAGCTTCCAGCTGTCCAGTACAGGGAATGTGGCCCTGGAATACACCTGGGTGGTGGCTGTGGAGGATGAAAGGGCAGTGAGCTGTACTGGGGAGCTGCTCCCACCCAGTCTAGATGGTAAGGGAGTGGCTCTGTGTGGCAGCTCGTGGTGCCCAGGGGGGTTTGGTTGGCAGTTGAGGGCTTGGGGAGAAGACCATGCCACTTCCCCCTAAAATATGAATTGCTTTTTCATCCCTATCCAGTTGCCCACTTCCACAAGCATCTTCCCAGCTGCAGCTGGAGACTTTCTCCCTGACCCCTCTCTGCTTTTCAGACCCCCCTATGAGTGTCTGACACTTGTCCTCTACGTGGGAGCTGAGCCTGGCTCAGGGAAAAGCCTCATGGTAGGTCAGGACTGGGAAGGAGGACATCAGGGCACATTTTTGGGAAGTCTCTGACACTGGAGAAAATTGATGTTGTAGCGACGAGTTAGCTGACCTCAGTCACTGTCTGTGTGCAATTCCCCAGTCCACGGCAAATGCAAAGTCACTGTTGAAAAATAACCCTCCTAACTTGGGCAGAGGTGGAGCCCCTGCTCACAGCAGCCATCGGAGCTCAACGGCAGGGCCATGACACACCAACCCACAGTAACGTGGTTGTGTCTGAGCTCACGGTCCGCTGGGGAGCAGCGTGGTTCTGCATGTCCAAGAGGTCTCATCAGAAAGAGGAGTGAGGAGAGCTGTCAACCTCTGCATTTCCTAGCACAGGCACCTTGCCTGCTGGTCAAGATGGGAGACCTCAGCCCAAGTCCTTGAGGCTCTGCACGTGCCCACCTCCCTCCCCTGTGGGTCCTGGCGTTGGCTCTGCCCCGGCACAGGGCACACTTGTGCTGAAGCTAGGCTGCTGGGCTGTGCCATCAGCTCTCTGGTCATCAGTTATGAAAGCCTGACAAAGCATCCACATGAGCTTGGACCAGGAACACCTCAGCTTCGGAGCAGTGTATCAGCAGAGCTACATGTCCTGGCACCTCACCATGGAGAACATGGGCAACATAGGAGTCAAGTAATGCCAAACCCTGTCCTCTCTGAGGGCTGAGAGCTTGGGTGAGGGTTGGATGGAGCTGTAGCTTGCCCAGAGAGTTGCCCTCTGCTTTTCCATTCCGGTGGGGAGTTGTGCGGCCAAGGATGTGCAGTCAGGCCTAGAAGTTAGCAAGGGATAAAAAAAAGCTTCTTTACAGATGGGTGCAGCTGAGTCCTGCCCAAACTGAAGCCTTAGTGCCAGGTGGCTCAGCACCCTGCCTGAGATCCTGTGGAAAAGCCCCCAGGAGGATTAAAAACAGCACGCTGTGTTTGCAGCCTCCTGGTTGCTAATTGTTCCTTTCTGTCCTTGTGCTTTCCTTGGCAAGGTTTAAGTGGGACATCAAGAGCTTCAAGCCAGATTTCTCCATCAGTCCCACAAAGGGTTACCTCTCCCCAGGAATGGACGTCCCCTTCACTGTGACCCTCCGCCCCTCTAAGCTGAGCTGTGCTATCCAGTGCGAGGAGGGCAGTGAGCCACTCCAGCTTACGCTGTCAGGATGCTGCATGCAGACCCCTATGTCCAAAGAGGTAACCGGAGCAGAGACAGGATGGGTCCCCCCTTACCCCACCATTTACACCACATCTCTCCCAGGGCAGGAACTGGAGGAATCTTACAGGCATAGAGTCACTCCTGCCTGTCATGCTGCCAGGGTGTCCCAGAGATCTGAGAATACCCCTGGGCAGGATTCCCAAAATCTGTGAGCCCTGTAGTTGCCTTCCTCTCCTATTAAAGGTGCTGCTCCTCCAGCGAGCGCCTCAGCTGTCCTGGCTCTGCACTGCAGCATCCTTGCCATGGGGACACCCTTCTGAGACCCCCCTTCACAGAGCCATGCAGCTATAGCCACAATATCACCCCCACGGTCACACTTTTTCTCCCTGTCAGGGCAGGGGAGGGCATTCAGCACTAGGAGCAGGCAAGGCATTTGCACCCAGCTCCTGGGGCACAGGGATGCTGCGTGGAGGACTCCTGTCCCTCACAGGCCTTGCAAGAGGGTGCAGCTGGGAGGTGTTGGCTCTTGCTCCCAAGAGTCCAGAGCTGCTCATCAGCCTGCCCACGAAGGGGCTGTGCAGCTGCAGGTCTTCTCCTTGCACAGGAGAGAGACCTTTCCAGGGCTTCCAATTTTCTCCTAGGGAGGCAGCAGCCCCCTTCACCCAGCATGCAAAAGACTCATTCCTCTCCCTTCTCTAAGAACGGACAATTTGCTTACACCAAAACCTATGGCTTAAATGGGAATTCTGCAGATGACAAGGAAAAGCTGCTCTCTGTGCATAGAGCTAGTCAGAGTGGAAAGAGTTCCTCGCTGTGGCCAAGCAGCCTCTGTGCTCCTGTTGCAGACACTGACTTTCACGTGTTCTGTGCGCGAGAAGCACAGCCAGACCATCCTCCTGTCCAGCAATGAGGACTGGACCGTGCAAGCTGTCATTGAGGGACAACACTAGAAACAGCCTGATTTTTTCCATCTGGAGGCCAATCAACAAAACAAGCCCTACAAGATCACTTATGAACCCCTAATCATAAGGTCTGGGAACAAGAAGCATCAGGTACGTGAGCTGTGCCAGCACACTTACAGTGTGACCCCCATAGTTCACCCTGCTCTGGGCAGGAGGTTGGATGAGATGACCTTCAGAGGTCCCCTGTGAATGGAAATTATCCTGAGGTCCTATGTTGGAAGCTGGGCTTCTTGGTGGCTAGAGGCCAGGTGTAAGGGAAGTTCAGGTGGGAAGTCCGGACTGACCACTGAACATATTGGAGCAGCTAACCTAAAAAGCCAGGCTGTCTGACAGTCCAGGAAATGAAGTTTGGTTTGTGCAGCTCCGGGTCGCGGCCTGTGCAGCCCAGGGGGGCTCAGTAACCCCTATGCTCAGCTCTGCAGGCTGCACAGGCTCCCCACGGCCTGGGCACGACCACTTCTGCCCACACTGGGGCCCTTTTGCAGCACACAGGGAACTAAAGGGGAGAAGCTGCCCTGCCATTTCTCCGTGCCCCCTGGCCATGAGCAGTCAGGTGGGAAACAACATTGAGATCTCTCTTGACACCTCCTTCAGTAATGCAGGAGCTTTGGAAAGAGCCTTTCCTGCAGGTCTGGGTCTAGGCAGATGGGGGTGACTAGCCCCTCTGTTTGCATGGGCAGACCAGAGACAAGCTCTTAAATCAAGGGAGTTAGTGCAGAAGGGCTCTGGGGGAGATCTGGAGTCCTTGTCCCACTCCAGCTGACCTTCTACCATGCCAGAATTTAGGCCTGAGTGGAGGCTAGAGACTTGTGGGCTCAGTCTCCAGGGTGCTCAGCAGATCTGTGCCCTGTGGGGTTGCACATGCTGAGCATCTCTTTAATGTATAGCCCTGCATGAAGAGCCCTGCAGTTCGCAGCTGCACTGGGGGCAGAGGAGATGCCCCAGAGCAGGTGGATGTGACCCACTGGCACCCGAAATGAGGACTGGATATGAACTGGTGGGACCCTGCCATGCCAGCTGACAGGCAGTAATGCTGGGACAGTCGAGCTTAGCAGGGACTGCCACCCCCTTAGCACGGCTGTCCCTGCACGAGCACAGGCTGGCAGATGATGTGCCCAGGGACAGGGGTGTTAGGATGGTCAGAGGAGCTGTGCTGCAGGGCTGCTGTGTCCTTGCTCTGTCCAGACAAGCTGCCTCTGTGTCCTATGGCTGCGCCAGCCCCAGCGGGTACGACATTGCCATCTCCACCGGCACAGGACATGGGGCTGCGGCCACAGCCCTGCCAGCTGGACCTGCCCAAAGCTGCTCAGGTGGCAGCCTGAGACATGGGACTGTCCAGGAGTGCTGGAGGGGCAGTAACTGGTCCAGGCAGAGAGCAGGATAGCTCACTTTCACTTATCCTATTCCTTGTCTCTAGGGCTCCCTCTACTTCCCATTGCCGGATAGGACAGGCTTGTACTACTTGCGAGGGACTGCTGAGGCCCCGAAGTGTTCAAGGACCATTTTCCAGCATGTGCCCTGTACGACTTCCTACACTGAGCTCATCCCTGTCTCCACGTGGCTGAACGGGTCACACAGAGGTGAGTCCAGCCCAGAAGTCTCATCCCATCAGCAATCCCTGCAGAGGCACAAGGAAGGGCTTCCCACTGCTTTGCAGAGAAATCACTCTATAACTTTTGGAGTTATAAGGTAGGTATGTTTATTCAGCGCTGGGCGCATGGGGGATCGCTCCACCACAAGCATGCGCATCGTTTGCAGCTCCCGTCCGGCTTATATGTTACAAAGTAGTGCATATTCATAGAACGCCCATACATATACATAGTCTACCCCCGCCTCCCCTCGCTTCTCATGGTAATCAGGTCCCCTCCTCTTGCGCCTGCGCGATGAGCTCTCCAAGCTCCGCGATGGGGTCGCAATCTCCTGGGGAGGGGTCGTAAAGATGAAGTACCTCTTCTTCCTCGCTGGTGAACTTTTCACCCTGTCGCTCTGCGCAGCCTCAGTTGTTCTCTGGCTTTCTTCCAGGCCAGTGTTTTGGGGTTGTCTGTTCTTCAAAGACTAGGGGGGACTTCTCTTTGGGCTAGGAGATAATCGCCTAGCAACGTTATCAGTACTTGGTATGTCTTTTTTGAACAGTCCCATACGCCTCCCCTTGTTTTTGCGCAGGCCTTGCACCATCAATCTAAGATTGTTTAGACTCCTCGTCTCATTCCCCCCTTTTCTTCTTACTTAGTAAATTCTTTTACTACTTATTTATCTGCTTCTTAATCTATTTCCCTTGTACTATAATATGTTAGTACTATCCTACAAATTAGTTTGTGTATTGCTTAAAGCTTGGATTGTGATATAAAGCGTCATACAGAGCTTGCAAGCATTTTGTAAGTCTCCAGATCCATACATATAGAGCTACAGTAAGGATCAACAAAATTGCTACAGATATTAATAAAGCAACCACTGGGTGAAGGGCTGTGTTTAATATCCCAGTAGTTGTCGGCGACCATCCGAAGAGTGTATCCCACCAATTATGTTTCCCTTCCTGCTCAACCATCTTTAAGACCTTTTTTATCCTTTCCCCATCATGAAAGGTTGTGAGTAAAGTTTCTTGCCCTTTTTCCTTAACTTCTTCCAGTATCCGGTGTAAGTCTGGGTGTTTTAATAGGCTTTCTATATGACTGACATTTAAGCCTATGGGGACAGGAAGTACCTTTACCCTGAGGCTGCTTTTCAAGAGGGAATGTGTAACTACTGGGGCAGAATAAGTGAAATCGCGCCCCAGGATGATGGTGAAATTACAAATACGATAATTTAGATGCTGTATCAATTTCTTCTCTCGCCCATCTATGGTTATTGTGTCACACAGTGCCCTTAAACATGCACATCCCTTTCCGGTATAGACAACAATGGTCCTCAAATCTACATTGGGGCGTGCTTCAAAGTGGCAAATCTTTTGGTCAGTACCTAAGCAGGTATTCTGGGTTATTAAGATATTGCTTTCACATATAAATCCCTGTTGTTCTTTTATGATACAGGGTTCGAGATCTACTGCTTGCCATTCATTACCAGCATTCATAGCCCAGGTCTTATGTTCAAAGGGGTACAGCAGGGTCCTGTTGTAATTGACTCCGAGACTTACAATAGGGTGTATGGTGATTAATTTTGTATCATATATTGTTAACACAAAAGTCGTTACTGTATGCGTGTCAGGCCTATAGGTGAAGTTGACCATGTTCCACCATGACTGTAACTTTTTCTCTGTCTCTGTGGCACTATCCCAAATTATTTTTCGAATTTCAGTGGGAAGTGTACCCTCCTCTCCTTCCCTTATTACAGATTCTGCTACTATTTGCATCCATAACTGGGCTTGTATGTAACTTAGAGCTACGGCGATATCACCTTGTAATGCTCCCAAGGTTTCAGCAATAAGTGTGTGGTCCTTTGTTTCTTTTTGCTCCCAGTCTGGCATTACTTTTGACATTGCCCATTGATGTACCCCTAATGCTGATAGTGAAGACCTCAATGGCTGTTGTAATTTTGATATATCCCTTGCAGTAGCTGCTAATTTGTTCGTTATTACTTCTGAATCTATTGAATTTAACACTTCCAATTCAGTTCCTAATACTCCAGTTAGGTCCCTCTGTGGTCTTTTCCGGTAGGCATTTCTCTTTTTCCTTAGTCAAGTTGTCCATCCTTCGTCTGAGGTTTGTAAGAAGGGGGAACAGCGTGGTTTTATATTAGAAATGTTCACTTGCATCTGTAATTCTACATTTTTAGAGACCATTTTGGGATTGATCAGCACTTGCTGTTGGTCTATGTGTCTGTTCACGTACAGACCAACCTTGTATATGTTGGGTGTAAGATTTACAGTGATTGGTGTGGTTGTCATGGTCACTGTGCTTTCAGTTGTGGTTGTCACTAGAGTAGTCACCATGTCAAACTTAAAGGATAGCCCTAGTTTATCCTTAGTCCAGAGACATGTCACAGAGACCGCAGGTTGAGTTAAAGTAAAATTATACCAGCATTCTAGATTTTTTGGATCACATATATGACCAATACTTGACACGATATATTTGGGATTTAAGATCTTGATCTCAGATACTGTAATCTGACACACTGACCAATGGGTGATTTCATTCATTACTCGACACCCTACTCTAATCTCTTGCCCTACCGTTCCCCATAATTGTGGTACTCCATTGACGTCTTTCTATTTAGTTTTTGTATACACCTCTATTCCCCGCATCACTACAGTAGCTAAAGTCAAGGTTGAGTTAGTATTATTATACCCATGCTTCCAGTATACCCAATGTACGCCTGGGACCATGGCTATTCAGCGAACCTTTGACCGGGTATCTGGGGAAAGGAGATTATTAGACTTATAATGAGAAGCGTAGTCTTCCCAACTGAGTTTGTGTAACCTTTCATGGGGATTTGTGGGCCCTCTTTACTCGGGTGTGATGAATCCAGGCTGAGTATTCTTTAATCTTGATGGCTGTAAATGTTGTGAGTAGCACTTGAAACGGCCCTTCCCATTGTGGTTCCAACGTCTTTTCTGTAAGAGACTTAACATACACATAGTCTCCAGGCTGAATGTTATGTACAGGCCCATCTAACCCTCTACCCCGAGTTCCAAATACATGTTTCCCAGTTTTATTGAGTTGTTTACTTAATGCTATCATGTATGAAGTCATAGTTTCCTCCCCAACTTGCATCGATGTTCCTTTCTGTACCGCGTAAGGTCTGCCATATAACATTTCAAAAGGGCTCAACCCTTCCCTGGCCCTCGGTTTTGCTCATATGCGCAAAAGTGCCAGAGGGAGAGCCTGGGGCCAGGTCAGGTTTGATTCTTGTCCAAGTTTCACTATTTGCTGTTTAGTCAAATGGTTCATCTTTTCTACTTGGCCACTAGATTGGGGACAATAAGGAATGTGAAATTGCCAGTCTATACCCAGATGGCGACTGATTTGCTGAACTACTTTCAAGATAAAGTGTGGTCCTCTATCTGAGGATATAGTCGCTGGGACCCCAAAGTGTGGAATTATTTCTTGTACTAATATTTTTGTCACTTCCCAGGCTTTGGCAGACCTAGTGGGGAATGCTTCTGGCCAGCCTGAAAAGGTATCCGTTAATACCAGTTAATATCGATACCCACCTTTTCTTGGAAGTTCTGAAAAATCGATTTGCCATTGTTGTCCCGGCCCATTTCTTCTCCAATCTGGCCTACTTCTAGAATGGGGGTATTCTTAGGATTAGTCTGGAGGTAAAGGTCACACTGTTGAGTCACCTGTCTTACTATGGTATACAGATTTCTAGCTCTAATACTCTTGACTAAATATCAGTATAGGGCCTCCGCTCCCCAGTGCCCTTTCCTGTGTTCCTCTCGCACCAGGTGTCTAGCTAAACAAGAGGGAATTACTACCTTCCCTTGGGGAGTGATGGCCCCACCTTCTTCATTATATGATCCTTCCAGGTCTGTAATTAACTTTTGATCCTCTTTAGTATAATTAGGCTTAACTTCTGGGATGACTTGCCCATCAGGAACTAAAACTCCCTCTATTTTTACCTCTCTTTTGGCTGCTTGTTTTGCCTCTCTGTCCACCAGTTCATTTCCTTTTTCCAAATCCGAGTTCACCTTTTGGTGGGCCTTAACATGCATGATTGCCACTCTTCTTGGAAGTTGTACAGCTTCTAGCAGTTCTAGAATTTCCTTCCCATGTTTGATGTGTTTCCCTTGTGAGTTCAACAGTCCTCTTTCCTTCCAGATTGCTCCATGAGCATGGACTACCCCAAAGGCATACTTCGAGTCTGTGTAAATATTCACTGTCTTGCCTTGGGC